TTCGTGCCGACGTAGTTTGTACCGTTATTCGAATACAATTTACTTGCAGGTCCACGGCGGGAAAGAAATCTTTTAAATGCACCCATGAAGCCCGTTGTGCTTAGATCACCAACGAGTTCTGTATGCACAGCCCGAGTAGTTAGACATACGAAAACGCAAACATAAGCTTTTGTGGATCTTACACCACGCCCGCGAGTGAGGTGACCTTAAACAGACCAGCAAAGTCAGACCCGGTGTGCATAAAGGGCTTTACGGATTGTGTTACTCGACAAGACCTAAGGTCCGCCATTTCCGGAAAAGACGGCTTAGGACGTGCTCGAAAGGAAGCCTTACATCTGTGCACCCGATTGCGTATTAAATTACGTGCTGAAAGAATCCAATAATTCTGACGCAAGATTGACATCAGCAAGTGGGGGCCAGTGTGAGAATTCAATTTATGGTGGTAATCAACTAATAAATTCATGATATGGTCCTTACGCGGTAAAACTATAGGGTGCCGTTGGTCGAAACTCAACTGCGAGGTAGACAAGCGCCCACCTACCCTGACGATTCCATCTTGTAAAAATGGCTTAAGACGTTGAAAAGCGTGACTACAAGATCTATTCGATTGTAATCTTGTAATTTCATCGGAAAAATGTGCACGTTGAAGTTCACGCAATACTAGCAACTCGGCACAACTACAATCGGACGTTACCATATACGAACAAACACTACTTATTGACTTTTAAACTACAAAGGCTACACTGTAACAACAAAAAATGATTTAAATGTAACACAGCGTCAGCGTATTGCTGTGGCGCAGCTAAACTATACTATTTTATTTTATTTTTATGGAACACTAACAAGCTAAACAAACACTAAGCAAATACTAATATATAATTCTGTCAACGACAAACTAATATTTAAATAATAAAACTATCTAATCACAAGTATGCAATTTCTAGGCGACTAAACTACAAGTATTAATAAGCGATAAAACTATGCGATGAACGCTTCGGAACAACACTGCTTATGGCTTGTTGCTCGCAAAGCCTCACTTGCTTCCGCCAAGCAAGATTGGCCTCGGCAGGTCTATTCCGTAGCCTCCAATGAGGCACGCCTTCTGTCGCAGTGGTTCGGCGTCTCCATGCGCTGCGACCGTTATTCGAGTCCCGGGTTGTGAAGCACGTGCACTGAATATGTCACCTGACGGGTTGCGGGGCGATCTAATTTTGCTAATTTGGGCCTTGTTCGCGGTGTCGATAAACCTAGCTCCAGGGATATCCCTACTCGGCGTTCCCTTCGGCTGCGACGAAACTATAACAGGTTTACTAACAACAGACTCTATCGTCTTGCTTCTCGACCCTTCGCATAATTTATAACTCGAGCTAAGTAAAAACGGGATGTTCCCCTCCTCTATTTCCCGAAAATTGCGAGTCAATAATTCGGGAGGTTCAACAGCGACGGTGCAACAACAGGATGTTGCCGAAACATTATCCATGATAGGGGCGGAACCAACGACGACGTAGCCCAAGACGGTCTCCAGTGCGTAAGGCGCTGTATGCGAGAGGTTGCCCCTGACCTTATTGTGTAACAAAAGATGAGGGAAAAGCGATGCTCCAATGAGCATGTCTATATCTCCGGGGACAGCGTAAGTATCATCTGCCAGAGTCAAATTCTCAAAATCAATAAGTATCGCCTAGGTATCGACCAAAACGGTTGATAGACGCTCGGTGACTTTATCTACTACTAATGCATTTATATTAAAGTTAATACTACGATCTAGCCGAGAATAAAATTTCAAATTTACAGAGCCCTGGGTAATTTTATTATTACCTCCGATGCCTTTGACTACGGGACATGAAGGTATCTTATTTATTAGCAATCCTAAACGCTGGCAACGCTGTCGCGTTATAAAGCTACTCTGTGATCCGCTGTCTATTAACGTGCGTACACTTTGTTCGTTTCCACGCGAATCCCTAACTACGATACGGGCTGTACCCAGCAACACGGTGGAAGGAGACTGCGTTCCCGTATTCGACAGTGAGCACAGGGTGACGTCACCCGGTCGACCGTTAGAATCGTCGACTTTAGTATGTGTAGTTTCCTTGTCCGACTTACTCGACGTGAATATGTTGCCACCTTCGAAATGTAATAACGTGTGATGTCTGCTGGCGCACTTGTTACACACGGAATTGAATTGCATTTAGCAACTAAATGTCTACCGCTTAGGCAATTTAAACATAAGTTGTTCGTCTTTACTATTCTATAACGTTCGCTGGGTGAATGCTTACGGAAAGTCGCACAATTATACAAATTACCGTGTTGTTTATTCTTACATAGAACACAGGCGCTATGAGGCGATGTAGGCGCAGCGGTTACGTACGTCAGAGACCCAGCGGTCCTAGTTGATGAGATGTGTCTGCGATCGACACATTTCTTAACTTCTTGTTTGACATTCGAGGAACGCTGTATCACTTTAATTTGATCTCGTACAAAGGAAGCTAAGGAGTCGAATGACTGTGTCCGAGTCTAGTTTCTTTAAGGCGATATGGAGAAACATCACGTCCATAAGGTCATTAAATTTCGGGTTCTTGCTGTTGATGCTACAAATTTATTGCTCTAAGGTTGTTGGAAAGCTTTAAGATCGAATATCTGGTCTAAATATGAAGAGGCTAACATTCACTTATCTTCATATTTGTTTTTAAGCGTTTCGAATATTAACGAATAATTTTTTGCTGTTGGTGTGAAACCCGAACAAATGGACTGTGCCCTACCGCTCAATTTACTAATTAAATAGTACAATCTTTCAGCGATAACGGTGGATTATTATGTACGGTGTTTTGAAAGCTATTAATAAACAACGGACAAGTTTTAATATATCCATTGAATACCGGAATATCTATGGGGGGCAATCTAAGTGATTCACGTGTTCGTACCTGTATTTCTGGTTTTGCTTCGCTTTGGGCTGGAGACTGTAAGAGCTTTGCCGTCCTTTTTATGCGACACAACATATCTTCAAATGATAGAAGTGATTGATAGTTCACCGTATACTTAGGGTCGATTTGTAATTCTAAACTATTAATTTTGTCTAATATATTTTCGTAATCCGATCGCAAAGATTCCACTGTTTCGATTTCACAAAAAAATGTTTCCCGCACTGAATCTACGTTAATATTTTTTATGTGATCACTTATATATTGTATACGTGAAAAGAGTACGTCCCTCTTGGCGTAAAGAGTTTTAAGTTTAATTTCACTTCCACTAACTGCCATCTTGAATCACAAACAATATCGTACAACGTTGGAAGATGAACACAATGTGCCACAACTATATCTCACAACACGCTATTGTCTTATTGTGCCGTATTACGTCGTTAAATTGAACACGTTGTCAGTAATATTTTTTTTCGTGAAGGTAACTTGCAATCAAACGAGATAACACGCGTCGACTAGATAAGAATTTAAAGCTCGTATAATGTTACAAATAGCGGGTAAAATAAATAAATTAAGCGGGTCTAACTATTTAAATAATTAAGTATCTATTTACCTATGCGAATAAACTAACCAAAATTCAAATTTAAACTAAAACAAAAACTACATAAATCTATCCAATATTAAATTAGAGTGTATTGTCCAAGGAATTGGTTCAGCAGTTCGACTCGATGAGGCTACAGGGCACCAGAAAAATCCACTCGAATGACCAGAAAAATGGTTGGGCGGCGGGCGTAAGGGTTCCCGAGTTCGATTCCCAGGTTGAGCCTTGACCCTATTGTGCGAGATGTTATACTAGGTGGACTGTATACGCGATGGCTTCTTAGCCTCAACAAGATGGCGGATGTGGCACGCGGCACCTTGGACAATGCACTCGCTCTTCCAAAATCTATTGCTTGCCAAGGTTAGGAGGGAATTCTACTTGAGCACATTAGGAGAAACAAAATGGGGCGAGACCCCCCTTTCCCCTTTCAGTGTGTACGGAAGGGATATTAGGTCAAAGGATGGGTAAACACTTGGCAAATATACCCTCGAATAAAATTAAAATACACGAATCGTTTCCGCGTAACCAATGTTAATTTAATTTTTCACAACGTAATTAGTTATATATATATTATGGCAGAATTACAAGCGTATTATAAAATATGTATATGTAAAATATGTATGACTGAAAATAATAAAGTATTTATATGTTCGCTTGTTGCAAATGTTTGAGTTTTAATACGTTGTTTGCTTAAATTACTGTTTTCAATTTTGCTATATAAAAAATTTTGTGTATAGTGTATATTTTATACTTGGTGGAGCCACGCTGCAGCTATATTATATTTGCAGCACGAATGAGTCAGCTCGACCGGGGAAGGACCACGTAAAATACCAGCTTAATACTGCTGTGCTTCGTATGGTGAGTGTAGAAATCCGGAGACCCTTTTTTACTGGAACGGGGCATTCCATCTTAGTCCTCAGGCGTAGCAACGCATCTGCGTTTTGATTCTTAAGCGAGGATAAATGTAGATGTCTGTGGGCCACAGCATCCACTTACCATCGGTGTACTGTGTGCTCGTTTGTCACCCTTATTCTATAAAAAAATATTTTTATTTAATAACGAAAATCAAACTTTATTAGTTTATCACGTTAGTAGTTATTCCTTGTTTTTCAAAAGAAGCAATAATGATGATCAATTATTATATTTTGGTTTATTATAATATTATACAGATTTTAAGTTTAAATAGCATACAGTTGAATACAGATTTTTAGTAGTTTCTAATACTGATAAAAGTTTCAAGCAATATACAATGTACTCTATGGGTTCAAGGCATCTGGCAACACTGTTACATAGTAGCCATAGATAACATAGATTAAGGTACTCTGTGCATAGATTACTGAATATATATGTAGTAGCTTTGTGTTTCGTTTATTTTATAATTTCGAAAAACAGCAGTTTCCGATTTTACTTAAAACGTTATATCTGGTTATATCTGAGAGATGACTGCTGAAAACGAACGTGAAATATATCATAAATTAGAAGCTATGAAAGAGATCAGGTAATTCTATTTTGAATATTTAGATTGAAATATTCTTGCACCTGTAGACTCGATCAATAAGTACTTAATGTAAAATTATCTTACTGTTTTCATTTATTTTCATAACAGTTGCGAAATAAACAAATATTGATGTGTTCTTTTTTACAAAACTGGTATTTTTGATTTAGCACTTTCTTTCATGTGTAATAGTAAAAATATTACTTTTATTTTAAAGGAATAAAACAATTACTTTGGAGCGCCTGAAGCGAAGTATTTTGAATGAAGTGCGCAGCGGCGATCAGGAGGGTCGATGTCTCGCACAATACAAGCGGGAGATGGAGTTGCTGCAGCAGGAGAAAATGAGTCATGTCGAAGAGCTTCGGCAGATTCACGCGGATATTAACGCGGTTAGTAGTAGTACACTAATAGGCTAGTTGGCTATTGGTCTATGTGGCTATATATATATATAGCTATAACTATAACAATATATGATAAGGATGTTATTTAATTTACTTGTTGCACTTTATATTAGTTTTATTTTCAGAAGTAAGAGTGATAAATGTGTCAGACCATCCACCTGATACTAAGTTTATTTATTTTATTTTTTATTATAGGATAGGGTGACAAACGAGCAAGTCCACCTGATGGTAAGTGGTTGCTGTGGCTCATAGAAATCTACTTCTATACTTGATTACAAATCAAAATGCGGCTGTGTTGTCGCCCATGAGGACTAAGATGGAATGCATCATTTCCAGTAAAAAGGGTCTCCGGTTCTCTACACTCACCATGTACAACACAGCAGCATTAAGCTACTATTTTACGGTGGTATTCTGTGAGAGTGTGTTCTTTCCCCGTTCGAGCCGACCCATTTGTGCTACAACTATACAACTAATATAACTACTAATATAACACTAATATAATGGCTCTACCACATATTAGTGGAGCCTGAGGACCATGATAAAATGGTTCATTGCCAGTAAAAAGGGTCTTTGGTTCTCATCACTTCCCATTGAGCATAGTGCTTGTCTGATAAAGCCAGCCCATTTACCCTGCACCCGGATTGTGTTGCAGCATGAGTCTACCATGTCAAAACTGACTGTTACTGATATTTTATTGAATTTTTTTTGTTTTATCCCCTTTTGTAATCTGTAATTCCTTATTGGTATAATATTATGTATATGCCTTAATGGCATATCCATAATAATATTATTTGAGACATGTTGTATCCCCATAAATTATATATGAACATTTCAATTGTTTAACTATTGTGTCTGTTTTGCGGGCAGGGAAACTGTTAACAGTGGTAAGCTTCATTATATAGACTTAAGTAAGTAGATGTAAATTTGATTTCCATTCAATTTATCATATTTTGCAAAATTCTAATTTTGTTTACTGTGATGATGATTATGTAAGATTAAATAAAATTTAATTTCATACTCCTAAATGTCTTCTGATCACAAGGTGGGTGTGAATATCATCATTTGCTTTGGAAGGTCGCTACCAAGCTATTTCTAATTTGTTTTGTGTTGTTAATTGTAATATACTTGATTGTAAGCAGTTATTTTTAAAAAAAATATCCTGCTTGGTTTTTTGCTGACTCTTCCCAGTACAGAGGTTTTTTCTGAAACTGGTAAATAAAAAAAGTGTCTCAATAATTATTATCTGTAATCTAATGATGAATGAGAAACAGAAATTGAATAAAAAGTTTCTGTTTCTTTTCCTATGCATACTTGTGAAGTTATCTTCTGTTGTAATCTAGTGTAAACAAATACATATGGATTTCTTGTCAGTGCCTACAGATAAGACCTCTAAGCCAATTAATTTTAATTAACAGTTGTATATTCTAAAAGTAATAAACAGATGTCATAAAAACGTTTCACACCTGCCTAACTACCAACAGCTTTTAAATAAAAGGGTATTACAAAATCCCCATCCCTTAACATTAAAACGTTTTTTGCTTGTCACCTACCATGTTTTCTTCATCCATGCATTTATAATAAAATATCACAATACCATAACATCAGAAACCTCAAGACCTCACAAGTAAGTCTGTCAACTAGTTAGAAAATGGCTAATGATGTTAACATATGAGGAAACTGAGGATATAGTCAAACGCCACTAGAAGAATATACACACGCGCACACACGCACGCACACACACACACGCACACACACGCACACACACGCACACACACGCACGCACACACCCGCACACACCCGCACACACCCGCACACACTCACACACACACACACACCCACACACACACACACACACACACACACACACACACACACACACACACACACATACACACTTTCAAATAAAATTACACTACACTATGATACTTTCAGTATAAAAATTTCTTTTCTTTTGTTAGACTGTACGATTCTCTAGTTAACTTGCGCTCGTGGACCCCAAGATACAGGATTATCCTAGCTTGGGGTCCAAGGGAAAATATTTGTATATCTTATGTTGAACATTGTTTAGCTTACTGTTCTTGCTTACATTTGTTAAATCTATATGTCAATAAAAGCTAAGTCTTCATCATGAATAAATAAATATTCCTCTAAAACTTCAATAACCAACTTAAGAATATTTAAGCTACAAACATTTAAAAAAATTAAAATCAAGTTTGAACCTAACAGCACATTTATGGAGTACCTGAATGCAATACTATTAATCAAATAAAATAAAAAACTGAAAATTCATACATAATTTCAGTAGCAAGTTTGATAGGGTTATTGTCATTAAAAAATCATATATTTTAAAGGATCCACTGTGACAAAACAAGTCCACTCCTGAACATAGGCTTCCAGGAATACCACACAGCACTGTCCTGAGCCACCAGCATTAACAACTGCAGTTGTTAACTCCCATCCCAAGCATGACAATTATTGCATGAGCAATGAATGACAAAAAAGAGATTCAACTTGGCTGATCGGATGGTTGGAAAATAAATCTATATAGTATTTATTTTGCTGGCTTATTCTTCATAAAAGACTGTTTTGTTATTAAATAATTCTAGTCTAAATCTTGTAGGCTTCTTATTCACCTCAGTAGTATCATTCTACCAACAGTAACAAGTTTGGTATCTCAAACTTCTCGTTATCAGTTTTTCTACATAGTCTTGTGGTTATCCTTTGTACTTGCAAGGCATATTGGAGTAACATAAAAAATAAAGGAAAACAAAATAAGCGTTACCATCTCGTGGTTTATAATATGTGGGTAGGTGGTTTGAGGGAACTTATCACCCCATTTCATCTCATGGGTTTCATAAGAGGCTACTAACAGATATGCCAAAAAGATTTTAAGGCTTCTGATAGATATAATCATGTTGGTAATATCGACTGGTATTGGCATCAAAGATGCAAAATATCTAATTCTCTAAATGTGAATCTGCTTGTGTAAAAAATAAGGAAAATCCTTCCTGATAGTAGTCCCATGTGACTTATGGATTGAAATAAAAGTGTAATTTTTCTCCGCCTTTAGTAGTGATTATAAGCCACTTAATGATTTTGAGAATGCACTTTTATGCTTTGTTAGTTTAAAACACAGATTAGGTGGGTTGGCATGTACAGAGTCAATACCCTCTCATTCCCTCTCCACCAACTCGTGCATTAGAATCCTGTCCTGCGTAGATGGCTAGTCTCTGTAGAAACTGGCCATCGTTACTGAAATTACATCTGGAGTATATTATTAGTTAAAAATGGTATTAATCTCTGTGGCGGAAATGGGGATATCCACAGTAGAACCAGAGTAACTGACATCACCCAACAGATTAGTAAACAAATGTGGCAATGGGCGGACCATATAGCTCGAAGAAGCCACCAACCTCATCAACCGATGGGAAAAAAAGCTTCTCGAGTGGCAGCCTCAGGCGAAGTTTAGGGTGGCCCCCCACTACATGGAGTGATGACCTCGTAAGACATGCAAGAAGTCGATGGATGCAGGTGGCTCAGGACTGTGCTTTGTTGCATTCTTAGGGGATGGCCTATGTTCAGCAGTGGACTTGTGAAGGGCTTTAATAATGATGATGAGGATGTTGAATAAAACTAAATTTACGGATTTTATCGCGTTTATTTCACTACTTTTACTTATTTTTAATTCCCGACGTTTCGGGTGCTTTACAGCAACCATGGTCAAGGGGGGGACTGAGATGTTTGACGTCCCAATGTCATTGTTAGCCCGGCTACCTTCAAATTAGAATATTAATTTTTGGTCCGATTTACGCAAAACGACTTTACAGTATCTTGAAGTCTTGCAGTGGTATGCTTGGGTTTGGGTTTAATTTTGTATAGTATATAATCCCAAGCAGATGGCAGCACCCAACCATCTTCTCTATTGAAATTAGGATGTTTTTTAATTTCAATAGCCGCGCGTATCATCCTTGGTAGGAATCGGTGTTCTTTTGCGAGGACTTGTGGTTTATCAAATCTGTAGACTGGATATGGATAATTCCATAAAAACCCTCGTGAAAGAACATATAGCTGACGTGAAGCACCGACGCTCCGTGAAGTTTGCAGTCTGTGAACATGTTCAAGATCGTCCCCACCATTACATCAGAACATCAACAAAATGTCTCAGAACGATAAAGATAGTTTTCGAAGGAGAAACCTTTGTCCAGACTTGTAAACTGTCGATGACGATAGTATTAAATATACTTTTTATCTAATGGAAAAGCAGATATTCGTGTAGAGAAAGCTTGAGTCCAGTGCTTGCAATGGCATTGTTTATTGACATAGCTGGCGCGCGCTATTGTTGGAGCACAATTGTAACATGTTGCTGTGTTTATTTTGTTTGTCCGAAAGCTCTCCCGCGCCGCCTAATGTTACATAGGTTAATTAATTAATAGAGTGAAGCTATGTTCGAATTCTCTTGTTCTTTATCCACTTAAATATTCAAGGTATACGTGAAATAAAACTTTTGCAATAATTTTAAAAACCAATGTCTCTTAGTAATAGGTTATTTGACAATACTGAAAACATACTACAAATTGTGTTCGTCCTATCAGATAATAGCGTAAAAAATATATTTCACTTTATTTTATACTAAAATATGTATATTTTATGCAAAATAAACGAAAATAAAATACAATAATTTTTGAAATTTTATCTGTGAAGGGAACGCCATGTGATTGGTTACAACTCTGGTGACGTCACATACGAGTAAACATTGCTGCCTTGACTGATAGTTGTACACGTTTTATGCAATTGGGTGCTATATTCGACCTTTTTAATAATGTTTCACCCATCCAGTAACAATTTTTGCTAAAGCGTTTACTTTTTGGTATTTCGCTAATTATTATCCGATCCGGGTATCTCAGGTTCATGAATACCACTTCTTTATTAAGCTCATAAAACTCTTCCTGTGTTGTTTTACAAACAACTGGCTGTTGGTCTTAAATGGAAGCCGACATCTGTGTGCCTTCAAGTGACGAAGAACCTTTACAGGAATATAAACGTTGTCAAAAGGCAAATAATACAATGAAGTAAAATCAAGACCTAAAACACGATGACTCGGAACTTCTGACAGCGATGAAACGGAACGGAAGAAAGTGAATTTAGAGCAGTTGGACCAAATAACTAAAATTTATGAAGAAAATGGGTTTGATGCGGATGTTTCATCAAAATATTTTTTTTTTTATTGTCATACCACTAATGAAATATTTTGAGAGATTCTTTGACAAGGAGTCTATCAATATATTAACAGAACAGAAAAATTTATACGCGCATCAGAAGCTAGCAAAACACTGGACTGACACAAATGCATCCGAAATAAATGTAATTTCTGCAAATAAAAATAAACTACACAAAAAGTTATTTTATTTATGTATGCAGCGTTATATCGACAAAAATGTATTCCATATATATATATATATATATAATCTAAATACAATAAGGCATAGGCAATAAAAAATCTAAACAGTAACTCGTGCACTGGCAAAACCTTTTGCCACGACAACGGACGCAACCGGGCAATTGGCAAGCATATTGCCATGCCCCATAAAATTCAGGGGAGGTAAGTTAGCGGGTAAAATGGATCGTTTATATTTTAAAAACAATTAATAGCATCGCTTAAAACAGTAAAACCCAAAATCAACCAAATAATTAGCATCGCCCGCGAAAGGGTTAATGACTCATGAACAACTCACTTAAATTAATAAAAATGCAACAATAATGAAAATTTAAATAATAATAATAATTATCATAAACCTAGAAATTATATATTGTAACAACAGTTATATCACTTGCGGCCTTTCATTGCAAATTACACTATGCAAAAGGCCAGATTGTGTCTCAGTCTTCCCGAAATTTGGATTTAGCTATTACTCGTACATCCGCTTCAGACGACCTTATTAAACAACATTTAATTTTATATCTATGAGAGAGCTGTCTGCTTTGTGAATCAGAAATGCACTAAAACTTTTCAAGTAATAATGCTTCATGCTATTGTAACTTTCTTATATCAAAGTCTAAATTTCTTTCCAATCTTAAAAACCCAATAAATATTTTTTTCTGGTCTAGATGTATGTCCATGTGCATTATTTATGTACGCTCCAACAACCATACATTTTACGTTAATATACTGACGCGGTTCGAACCGTCGCGAATTACTTATAATGTTGTATCTTTTATAATATTTTTTTAATTAAACTTAACAGTGTGTGTAATAAACGGTTAAAGTTACAACACGTGTACTTACTTTATGCGTCGGTCATCATTACGTATCGTCTTAAACTATGTTCAAACTACATATCTATAAACTAATAATATCCTCCAGACCGAAATTCGGTCACGGCGGCCCGCCTCAACGGAGACTAGCCATCGGCGCAGGACAGGATTATAGTGCCCAAGTCCCCAAGTGACCCTATTCCCTCACTCTCATAATTCGATGGGACGGTAAACCGACACGACCTGAAAGAGATAAGGCGCAGGACCAACGGCTTTACGTGCTTTCCTTGGGGGTCATCGCCTTTCTTCGCCGGTCTTCCTAACTCTCGGCAGTTACTGAGAATTTCTTGACGGAAAAACTTAATTATTGATTTTTTAGCCCGATCCGGAATTCGAACCCAGGACCTCATGGTCAGCAATCGCACTACTACAACCACTAGACCAACGAGTCAGTCAAATATCAAAATTGTAAAATAATTTAACTGTAAAAGAAGTTGTATACGATTTGCAAACTGTGGCCCGCGTAGTTTATGTAAAACGCCATTACGGTATTGGAGAAGATTTTACGTGGGGGCTGCTGAAAATGCTACGTAACGCTGTTTCTAAAAAAATATGCAGGGTTGTTTTCCAGAGTAGGCAAATTTTAAACTTAAGTAAACTATATAAATAATGACATTCCGTTATTGTAGTTTTTAAAAATACTAGTAAAAAGACTTTTATTTTTATTTGGAATGATCCCAAATTGAATTTAATTCATGGGTAACGCACTACGTGTACGCGTGCTCCTCTGTGTGCAATTCGATTCTCGTTTTCGCCGACCTTTTCGATCCTTACGAATATGTGTGTGCGTAGAAAAATAGTTTTTAAACGTTAGATTTTTATCCGTTAAAGCATTTATACGCATTTTTAAAAGATAAAAAGAACAGAATGTTTGAAATATTTTAAATTAAAGATAATATCTCTATTATAATGGATTTCCAAAGTAACGCCTGGTTCCTTCAATTATTTTTTAAATTAATTTATCTTCACCATTTTCCTATATTACTTATTCTGAACTTTCTCTGCAAATTTGGGCGGTTATTGCAAAATAACCCTATAATAGGGCTTAAATAATTATGCGTTTATATTTCAAAATATAAAGCCACACGTGACAGCGCTTAAATAGTGGAATGTCCTGTTAGCGGCGACTCCTTGACACTGAGTCGTAAACTAGAAGTTGATGCGGTGAATTTGTTATCTAGTCAATTAATAATGTGCAAGTTGCCAGTGACATGGCTCTGAGACGTGGTTCTTCTCCAATTTTCGTATGAGGTAGTTGGATGTTGCACGGCGAGCTATAGAGAGGGTTGGGTTTATGCTATGATAGATGTAATAAGAGTATCTGCAGTAGAGCCAAAGTAACCGGGCCTGTTGGGCCACTGTTTAACTATACCGGCGTAAAATAGTAGCTTGAGGCTAGGCTGAGTATTTCCTATGGTGAGTATAGAGAACCGGAGGACATTTTTACTGGAAACAATGCATTCCATTTTAGTCCACAGGGGCGACAACGCATCTGCATTTTGATTCTTAATCAAGGATAAATGTAGATGTCTATGGGCAATGGCATTCACTTACCATTACATAGACTTTATACTCGTTTGTCATCCTTATTCTATAAAAAATACATTACTTCCACAATCAATTTTCAGATGGAGACTGTGATAAAGCAAACGGAGGAAAGTATGGGGCGTAAATTAACCAACGCGTCGCGTCTGCACGAAGACTACAGACCGTTGAAGGCGGAAGTCGACATGCTGAGGCGACAATGCCTTGGTCTCGACCGTCTCCCTGATCTACATGAAGAGGAGGGATCACCTATTACACCTGAGTAAATATAAAACTAAAATTATAACGTTTTGTAGTTAATTATTACTTATTTTAGGCCCCTTTCAATATTTTTTCCAAAGAAATTACAATGTACAGACATACAGATGGTAAGACTTGTTCTCTGCCCAGGAGTCATCTGGGCAAGTGTCTCTACCTATTGTTGCATCTAAACTTTACTGCTGTGTTTCGTTCTGAAGGGTATAAATAGAGAGCCAGCATGATTGTAGACTGTGAGGCATGCCACCACAGTCCGCAGAAGTAACACATCTACATTGTTTGAAGTCGATTAATGCTTTCTTGGTTGAGATTCGGTCGGTATGTTGCAAGAAAATTTTAATTTAATATAACATATTACTGCTGTGGTTTGTATAACGAGATCAAATATTTTTTTTTAATTAATTACACTTTCTAATTTATCCGGAATTAAAAAACACTAATGTATGTCTAGAATAACTTGAAGCGACAGTAACTTCATAGTTAAGGATACGGCCTGTGGACGGTAAATCGGAAAGTCGCTGGTTCAAAACTGCCAAACCACAACATTTTAAGAGAATAATGGTATGGTCATCATCATCTCATCATCAGCCAGTTAAAACGGATTAACGATCGCACTACCAGACTAAGCATTATTGACGCTACTGTTCGCCTCTGATCTGAGTATTTTTACGCTTGGTGTAAAAGAGTGGTTATACTGGCATCTATCGAAAGCCATAAGATTATTCTGGCTTATCCTGTAGTCGCCTTTTACGACCCCCACGTTACAGAGTGAGGTAATGGTGCAGATATAAAATATCGATTTGTTATAATATCAATAATGTAATATGTAAAACATCATTGTCTCTCACTTCGTCATCACAGCACGGCGCAGACGCGATTTCAATGGGAACAGAAAATTTTTGTCGATATGTTCCGCTGGTGATGTTGTTAGACTACTTGCAGCAATCTAGTGCGAATTTGTTTTGGGATATTGATAATAATCGATTTAAGATATAAAATATCGATTTGTTAATATCGATAATGTAATATGTAAAACATCATAAATTTGAATACCGATATTACGAAAATAAGTGTGGCCAACGTAATAAATATGAGTAGGTATTATACTATTGTATCAAACCTTGATAAAATGTTTACTTTCATCCGACAAAAGTTGTTGTATTTTAAAATTGTAATCCGACGTATCCATTACAACCGTAACATTTCCTTTATCTGCGCTTGTTTTTGTATTTTAATATTAATTTTAAAATACAACAACTTTTGTCGGATGAAAGTACATACCGTAAGGTCAAAACAGACACTACAACGCGCAGATAAAGAAAATGTTTACTATTTAGATGAAGCATACACATAAGTTACGATCATCGTTATTACATCCTAACCCAAGTCCATTGCTGAAGGTAGGCCTCATCCAAGTAACGCCATAAAACATTGATTGACCTAAAACATAGGCATTTATCGACTTCCATAATATGCAATTTTTGAATTCATTTTTCAATTTATATCATGTGTTTTACAGATTATAATATTAATAATTAATTTATAAGGACGTGTGTGTAAAATATTAAGGTATGGTTTTTTTTTTGCAACATCGAGCATCCCTAATTAAATGTCCTCCAGACCGAATTTCGATCACGGCGGTCAGTTTCAACGAAGATTTGCCATCAGCGCAGGACAAGATTATAGTGTCCGAGTGTAGTATGCAAGCACAGGTGTAACTATTTCCTCACTCTCATATTCCGGCGGGACAGTTATCCGACGCGACCGGAGAGAGATCTGGCGCAGGACACCGCCAACTTCCTGACTTCGGGCTGCTACTGAGAATTTTTGACAGAAAAACCCAACAACTAATTTTGGCCCGAACTGGGATTCGAACCTGGGTCCTCATGATCAGCAATCGTATTCACAACTGTTAGACCAACGAGACAGTCTCCCTTATAATGTATGTGGTGCGGCAGTCGGTTCCCGGCGGCGAGTCGCAGCTCGCTGGGCGGCGGCGGCGTGTGCGCAGGTGTGGGGGGCGCGGGGGGTGCGGGCGGCACGCCCGCATTCCTGCCTCCTGCGCCGCGCAAGCCGCCCCCTCCGCCCGCCTTCAGGTCTGCCCTCCAACAAGATTTCATTACCGTCTCGCTGAGGTTCGATTTTGTTTCGTTGAGTTTCGTTCTACCCGCCCCTACACCAGCACCCATCCTTCCCTCATCCCGCTCTGCTTGTCACACGCTGCGTTCTACCGATAAGATAAAATTATGAAATATATTAACAGATACATGTGTTAAGAATGCATAGTTTACTATGCATTTCTTAAGCTCTCAAGCTTAAAGATTAAAACAGTAATTTAAAAAAAACATGTGTGCAGTTCACACTTCACATGCGGTAGACGTGAAACATTCAGAAAAAGAGACCGCGATAGTAGGAAACAATATATGCTCAGTGCTGTCTATGTTTGTATCTATGGATATATTTTTTTTTGTAAAATAAACAATTTATTTACGTCTGTGCTGTTTCCCCACGGTAAAATGCCGTACTTGAGCCATGCATGGGCATAAGCATAGTGCATACTATGCTGTAACATGGCTGTTCTTGAATCTGTAACTTTTTTAAGTTCGTATAATGCATACGAGAAACGGGAAAGTTTAGATGATACTTTCTTTATGTGTTTTTTTCCAATTTATACCTGAATTTATGTTTATACCTAATCATGTATATGAATCAACACATTCTCACTTAGCATCGTTCTAAGAATAATTTATAGATTCGATTGGTCAGGTAGGATTCGAACTAGTTGTATGTTGGGCCTCTTACTCCTATTCTGTGTAAATTCCGTAAAAGTATGTCAAATCGATTTCGATCATAGGCTTTGGTCATGTCCAGTAAAATACCGATATTAAACAATTTTGTATAATGTACAACATAATGTGCTTGAAGTTTATTTGATAGGAATTGGCTATGATTTAATCTAAGAGGCAAGAAATGTAATTATTAAGAAAATATTGTATTTTTGTAAACATAGTATAATTTTGTACAAAGTTCTGCCTATGGCCATAATTTTACATAACAGAAACTAAAAGAAAGAGAAATGCATATAAATAACTTGTATATGCCATATTTAAAAACGCAGTGAATGACTCCCATGATTTTATTTATTTTTATTATAATATTATTTGCTTCATGCATGCATTTCATCAACATCATATTATACAAATTTTTAGAGAAAAGTTTTACTGCTATTCAACAGGTGACGCCACTAAGAATTTCACTTAAATTAAGTAAATAGCACAAATAACTAAAATATAATTTTACGCGTAATAACTATGCTGCAACCATATTATGGTAGTGTAGCACGAATGGGTCGGCTCGACCGGGGAGGGACCACACTCACAGAATAGCAGCAAAGTAAAATAGCAGCTTAATACTGCTGTGTTTCGTATGACGAGTGTAGAGAACCGGAGACCGTTTTCATTGGAAACGAGGCATTTTAGTCCTCAGGAGTGTTAGTCGAGAATGGATGTTGTAGATGTCTATGTTGTAGATGTATTTGGATGTTATGTGTAGAGTCTATGTTGTAGATGTCTATTTGCTATGTTGTAGATGTCTATGTTGTAGATGTCTATGTTGTAGATGTCTATGGGTCAGTATCCGCATGCCATCAGGTGGACTGTGCTCTTTTGTCACCCTTATTCTATAAAGAATATCCACCACACCGTGAGTATGTATGAGATGGCATACCGGTTGCTGCAGCTGGAATACACCAGCTGTGTGCGTGGAGGGGCTGGTAAAGTGGCTACATCGAAACAAACCATCAGCCTGTGATAATTCACTGCTAAACATAGGTCCTTCTCAAGTTGAATTTTACTATCACTACCATATTTTTTTGGTTTATTGCTAATGGTTGCTCTAAATAACTTGTGTGTGTGTGTACTCTAAATAACTTGATGGTAACTCGCAAAAATTATCTGATGAAATGCCTCGTTTCAAAAAAAATTATATTTTAAATTTATGATATTTCCATAGTCGTCTCATGCGACCCACGGGAAGAAATGGGATGACGGATTGTTTTATGCCACCACCACACCATTTGCATCCATTACAGCCTGTACCACTGTTGAACACACGCCTCTCAATAGCTTGGCTCACAGGAGCTTGGCGTAGTTACCACGCTTGGCATGTTGTTAGCAACCGCAGTTTTTGATATTTCGTTGTTATCAGAACAATGCTGCGGCCCATTTCCTGATTCAATTTCCTTATATGCATCTGTTCGGTTCTGTAGACAACAGCCGCCGCCCATGAAGTCGTGTCTCTCGTGCCATCAGCAGATCCACCGCAACGCGCCCATCTGTCCGCTCTGCAAGGCCAAGAGTCGTTCCCGGAATCCCAAGAAGCCCAAGAAGAAATAGTCGCCCTCGCGCTATACCTGAACTTGCCATCATTCGCTCTGCACGTCGTTTGCAAGCACACTACATGCAATTGACATGTGTAAAATGTCAAGTAGTTAATTTTAACGACAAAACAGCGATCACTAGAACATCGTTTCTCAAACTGGGAGTCGCGATCTCTAGGGGGTTGTATACAGCTGGGATCGAAATTTGTATAAAAATAAGGCACTCTTATCCTTATTGAGAATCCTTAATCTACATTATTAATTTTAATTTGAAATCTGGTGTCGACATACTACGCGATGGATTCGTTTGTTTTTTAACTTATAAGTTATATCCACTATGATAGAGAAGATGTCTTTGTTTGTGATGTGACAACGTCTTACTCCGCAAGCTAGCATGTTCAAGAAGTTTGCGTCAATAAAACTGCTTTCTCAATTCTGTGTCCATTTTATGGAACTATGTTTTATCTATTATTCATGTGTGTGGTGTGGTACATGTTATATATATTATAAGGGTTTAAAATCCTACTTAATTATTAAAAGAACTATACAATTCATTTAACACTTCATAAACAGTATATAAAAACTCGGGGTGTGTCGTGGACACGTCGTGTGTTTTACTTGAATACGTGTACGTAACGAAACGACCTCAAAATAGTGGCGCTCTCCCCTCCAACACGCGCGATGCGTTGCAGTACTCAATCATGTAACGATTTCTTTGATCCTTTACTATCGAGTGGTGCGTTTGAATGTTGTATGTATATGATAAATATGTATCTGCAACACAACATCAAAATGTATCACCGATTTTGTCATCATCAGTTTTCTGAATTGCCTACCACCAAGCAAGCAAACTTAAAGACGTATACACGTCAAAAGTTAACAATTCTTATTCTAGAAACACTCGACCGTTATCGTAGTGTCGACGTCACAGCTGACCCATTTTTTGTTTTCAAGGGATTGCGATTGAAAAATGTTTGAGAAACATGTCTCTGTGCGCTCAAATGTCTAATCCACAGAACTGCGTCGTTTAACCGGCATCGCTGGCTAAATCTCTACTTAACTTTTACTGTGTCTATGTATGAAGTCTGCTTGTGAAGCAGCAGTCAGGAGAACATATCCCCGTGTGAGCCTTGCCATGTAGCATAGTGAGGGAGGTTAAGTCTGTTTATTATGTTTATTTGAGATTGGTCGTAAATTTTAGTGAATGTTTGTGTTTATACTTAATGAGACAAGGTAATGTACAGTGTATATATAATTTAATATTAGAAATAATTAAGTACCTAATTTTGGTACTGATAGATCTCTAAAGAAAATGTGAAATTGTAAATGTCGCTGTGTGTGATTCAAGGAACAGTTTATAGGAGTTCGTGTTTTGCGGCCAATAACTATAATATATAGTTTAAAAATCGTGTTTTATCTGGGGAAAACTTAAAAAGAGGTCTACTGTAACTGTGTACATGTTACATCCTCTTACATAATTCCGCCAAGTTGCAATACGTGAACTGCCATATTTTAATACGAAGGGTAAGAGAAGTATGAGAGAACTAAAGTGTATTTATAGTCTGTAAGGATTTTCAGCTTTAGTTATATTTTAGTTTAAGCTCATATTAAATGAAAATTCGTACATCTTATGCAGGTCCTCACCTACTCAGCCCTATCCACAAAAAACTGCAAATACATTGGGGTGAAATGGCATGAAAAGTAAGGGTAAGGGTGGAACAAGTGCCAATTTTTTCAATTTCGTCATTTTGCTTAGCCTCGTGAGGCCCAATGTCATTTACATAGAACTATATATGAAAGTAATTACCGCCCGTGAACATGATAAAAAAATTAGTTATTTACTTAATGGCAGTTTTAACTCTTATTCAATATTACTGTTTAGATTTAAAATTTCACTTTGTTATTCTTCTGAGGATTGAAAAGCGTATCCGAACTTTTGATGCATAGTTTAGCATTTTGACATTAACAAGTGACTGTAATCAGCTATTTTTTCGTCAAAGATGTCGGGTGCAAGAAGTTCGCGATGCCTTGGTGAGTATTATCTACTACTGTACTTACTATTGTAAGTTTTGAAATCTTACAATAGTAAGTACAGTAGTATTATTTCATGCGACGTTAATAATGAAAGAATAATTTTTATGACAGATGCTCTTCAAAGTCTTTTCATATTTCTATTTTCGTTAGTTAATTCGTAATTTTTCAATCATATAAGGCCATACTTTTAGAACTCTATAATAACTTTCTTACTTTTTTTTACTCTATGACAAGGCAATTCTGCGTCTACCACGAGGGTTGAGGAAAATAATTATTTCCAAAAAACTACGTTTATTAGAACTTTCTTATTTGGAATGCTCATCAGTTAATTTTGGTAACCTACTGTCTTAGTTTAGTTTACGACCTTACCTGCTACACGCGTATTTTGCGTGTGGGCAGGAATAATGTGATTATTCGAGCCATGAAATCTCCCCAAAGAATTTCAACAGTCCTTTGATGTTGCAAACAACTTTGGGGAGCGACCCCGGCGTGTCGAGATGTTTAGCCCTGTATGCAGCGACCTCCGGACATGTCAGCAACACGTGAGCCGCCGTTTCTTCCTTCCCCATGCATGCCCTGCACAGGGGCCTTCAGTAATACCTATGGTAAACAAATGTTTGTTAAAGAAAGCCATGTTCTGTGATAGCACTTGTTACTATCCTGATCTGTGGCTTGTTCAGTCTCATTGGAACCTTGGTTAGGCGACTGTTTATTTCAGGCATGGCCTCCCTAGCTTGTCTACAGTCTGCAAGGCATTACCAAAGTGGCCAGAGCCGATCCTCTTCTGGGCAGTTTGTCTGCTGCATCATTGCCTCTGGATCCACTGTGTCCCTTGATCCATTGCAGAGTCACATTCCTGTGCTGACATATCTCATTTAATTGTTGATGGCATTCCTATATTAGCCCTGAGTCCACCACATTACAACTCGGAGCTTGTAGTACCGCCATACTGTCGGTCAGTATTCTGATGGAGAAGTCTTTCACATTCCTAGCATCTATTGCTATGGCCTCTTGGATTATACCCACACACTCCACCTAAACATATGTGGATATTAAGGTCTTCAGAGAAAGTTCCAGATCCTACACCTTCATTTGTTTTAGAAACTATCCGTGAAAACTAAGCTCTTTTGGGTATAATCTCTTCGGCTGGTCAGTTTCATTTAATTTTATCTTATACTTCTTATCGAATACAAATTGTTTTGGGATCATATTGTACTTGCCTTATAAAATAGGAATTTTTGAATAAATTCTATCAATTATACCCTTATGAGGGACTCTACTCTTATTCAAGAGATATCTATAGTCTTTGCGTTATAACATGGTGCGGGTGACAGCTTACAGTTAGGCATGTCTAGAAATGGAACAATGTTAAATCGATTTTAAAAAGGTGATTAACGATACACAAAGCAAAGCAAAAATTATCGATTAGCTATCGATATAAAAATTAAAACCGAAACATATTTCTTTGTAAACTACAATGAATATAAAATTAAGTTAAAGTTCAATACAAATGACATAATAGTTACATAACAGCTGTTCCCGCGACCTCGCTCGCGTGCTGTTTATTACGATTGATGGATTATAGTAAAGTTAATTGTTGAAAAAACGAATAAGTCTTCTGTTCTGTTAAATATTAGTAACGGAAAGCTCATACTTATATTGGTATTAGCGTCATAATTGCAAGCTTATTTCCCAGAACATACTGCATGAGGATGTACTGGGGAAAAATATGGAGATACGCTATGGTCGCAGATCTAATGACATGAAATTGTTTTACTCAAATATAGTAATTTATGAGGTTTCTGTTGAATTTTATTTTATTTTTGGAAAGTTTGTTCGCTATTGAGATGTCGAGTGATTCAGATGTGGAAGAATTATTAGTTTTATATGCTTTATCACGATCACAGAGAAAGTATGGGTACTCATGTACCCATACTATTGTATATATTATACCCATACATAATTCCCATCTCCTATTATTGACGTCGTCGTCAATATAAGGAGATAGGAATTAGGAGAATATCGTTTGTGTTACGAGCTTTCATCACATGAAGATCGATATTTTTACATAATTGTGTATGCCTAAAGATTTATTCGCAGAATTGCATAAACTGTTCATCGCAATAATAAGCAGATCTACAACAAATTGCAGGACGCCTATTGCTACAAGAAAAAGACTTTTAATCTGTTTGACGCAAGAAATATTTATTTTTTAAGATACGAGTACTTGTTTACTGCGATACCATTATGACAGTGACTGTGGCAGCAGCTCAGCTGGCTTGTGTGATGTAGTGCCGCCGGGGTCGGTAGATAAATCTATAGCAGCCGCTGGGGACAAACTTTCTGGCCCAGAATTGATTACTTCATAGGAGACAGTACAGTCTTCAATACTCATGTATGAATAATGTGGTAAATTGTTAAATATTTGGACGTTTTTTTACATTTCCTCTGTTTTTATGCTTGCAAATAGCTTAGCCAGTTCTACTTTGGGTTTTATTTGTTACGCTTTCAAAAAAACTTTAAATGTTTGGGCATAACTTTGGAATAGGCGATCTATGGCATCATACTCTTGTTTTTTTTTTAAATAAAATTTAGAATTTTATATACTTCACTGTTTTCTAATTTTTTTTTTGGCTCATGAACGAATTAGACGGAGGTGTCTGCCGGAAGTGTCTCTGTCGAGGTGTCCTTGGCGGAGGTGTCTATGAAGGCGAAGCTTCAAAGAGGGCTCCCATATATCTAAGTTAGCGGAAAGTGTCGATGTCGCTGGCGCCCTTTTCGATTTGTTTGATAGTATAGTAGCGTCATAGTAGAACACAATTCGGCGCTATAGCTCGCTATAACAGGCTAGCACTGACGCGCGCTAAGTACGCGTTCTGTTTGGCGAAGTCTTTATACATATTGTCGTTTTTTAAGAACATCGGACGGTTATTATTAAAACATATTTTTTTCCTTGGGCCTTTCGAGGTTTTGATGAATACG